AAAACATTGCTTATAAATTTCTTGTTATGCTATATTATTACCAAATCTTGGATTCATTATTTTTGTCAACTTGTTTTCTATTTGGAGGTGAATGATCGTAGGCTTCTGAATTCATGCATATCTATTTTTCGCTGAACATTGCCAAAATTATCCAAAAATAATGCTTTTTTTCACTCAAAAACTGAGGTGCATGAGCTCAGATCAATGAGGCCTATATGATCAGCTTCAAAAGAAATACAAAACCTGTGCTAATCGAAAGAAAACAAGACGACAAAAATATTGATTCCAAGATTTGATGATTCCAAGAGTTGGTGATAATAATTCGAAAACGGTAAAACTCAACTGTTTAACTCTAGGGGAGTTGGAAAATGAGCCTATTTTCAAAAATAGTGGAGTGTTCCTTTAAGGTGGTTTCACATTGGTTTGGTTTGCATTAAAATTGAACAATTTTTTTTCTTCTTTAATAATTTATTTTGATTTTTTTTCTTATCTTTTTCTTATCTTTCAAAATGGGGTTTTAGCAGCAACGCTATAAAAGAACCATTTTGGGTTCACCAAACAGTTCTTAAAATAACACTTTTTTCTTCATGAGAAGAACCTTTTTCCACTTTAAAGAACCTCATGTGGAATTAAAAGTTTCCATGGATTTTAAAGGTTCTTCATGAAACCATCAACGCCAATGAAGAACCTTTATATTTTAGAGTGTATCTATACTATGCACGATTATATAGTCACATTTTATAAGCTCCATTTTGGAGTCGCGACCCTCCAGTTCAGAGAATCTCTCATGTGTGAATTTGACAATTTGTTAAAATGTCTATAACTTACAATTAAAATTCATCCTTTTGTGATGATTCTGAACACTAAAAGATTTCCAAAGTCAAAATTAAACAACTTCAAACTAGGCCCAAGTCTGCAAGCACTCTATTTCCAGTTTAACCCACATTCGTAACGTTCCATGAAGTGTGCGGTGTCTGAATGCTGGTTAGGTTGATCTGATGAGCGAATGTGTTGCCGTGCACTGGTCAGGACAGATGTTTGGACAGTGTGGTCGTCTCTCATGCTACGTGAAAGATCTCTCAGGGATTCCTGTTACGCTGGGCAGATGGCGAGATGCACACTACAGAGACGCCATCGCAGTGCACACAGGTACAGAACTGTCCTTTTACAAACTCAAACTAAGGATAAACAGAGAACAACCAGGGGACTGTCTGCAAAGTCATTCCGAATGCATTCCAAGAAATCCGTCTCGTAGCCAGAGGCTTGCTGCTCAATTTGGAACAGGGAAACTAGCCTGAAGTGTCTTCCATTTATTTTCGTTCCAGGATTTGCTGGATGTTCTCGGTTGAGTTAAGCAGGCATCTCTCAATCATACACACTGGATCGAGTGTGTGTGTGTAACCTCCCCCGCAGTGGCAGGAGCACTAGAGTGGATGCTTCAGACCTGGAAGGCACTTTTCAGCCTGGTCACACACACTGAGGCCCTGCTGCTTGGCTGCGCACCATGGGTCACCGGCTTACATTAGAAAAACCCAAGCGAACACAGTCAAGCGTGCTGCTTGAACATACCTGACAAAACCCAACGCTGCACTGAGCATTAAAACAGATCGATGCACTGTGCTCAAACAAGACGTTTAAATAAAATGCATAAAATCATTTTAGCCTTGCATTTCAGGAACACTTTGCTACTGCTTAATTAAAAGACGAAATCAGGATGAAAAATGTAAAGATTCAACATTATTCATTGGGATTGATGCGAAGGATAGAATCATTCGATCGTTAATCCTGAATTAAGCACATTAACCGGGTAATAACTGAAATGGATGAAAGACAAGGTCGATTGTTTTGATTGGGAGTTTTACACCTCGGTGAAATATATCTATTCCTTGGCAGCGGGCTGGAAAATGAGATGGAGTGGTGGAGAGAAAATGAAGGTCTATCACTGGTCAAAGGGGAAAGTGAGACAGACCCTGAACATCAGACTCAATGATTTAGCTCGTGTTCGAAACATCAATACATCCCACCGCCTTCAGTGTCCCTCATTTTAAAGTGTCTAATGAGTTCCCACCACAAATGAATGAATAAATTACAATAATAATAAAAAAACTGACATTTGTTTTTTATATATTTATTATTATAATATTTTACATTATTGTGTTGTGTAGATTACATAAATAAATGCACAAATTATTTTTCATTCAGGGTTACACGATCATACTACCGCTTGTTGCACAAAAGCATATTACAAATGAATAATTAATTGAATAGAATATTATACTGTGATTACAAAATTATATTTTATTTGTAAATCTAATTAATATTTACTAGAAATAAATATGAACAATAAATTAATTTTTATTTAGGTTTTTATGATAATACTACTGCTTATTACACAAAAACACATTACAAATAATTGTAACATTATTATATTTTAATAATCTTAATATGCTAATAGAATATTATATTGTGGTTACTAAATTATATTATCATAATAAATAAATAAATGTGTAAATTAATAAACAAATAAATAAATAAATAAATAATGTGTATTTTAAAATATAATTAATATATTTTATTGTAATATTTGACATTATTGTATTGATATAGTTTTGAATTATAACAAACATTATGAATTGTTTATAGAAAATAAATGAATTTTCATTTAGGTTTTTTATGTCCGTACTAGTGCTTATTCTTATTTATTACACACGCACACACACACACAAGATACAAATAATTGTGACGTTAATATATTATGATATAAATGAATATGTTAATGGGATATTATATTTGATTATTAAATGATATTATTACATTAATATAATATTAGGATATCACACCCCCAAACATTTGTTATCACAGAATCCCGTGACATTCTCTCTAAATACATGTGCGCTATCAGAGATATTAACAAAAAACACATGTGCAGAAACATGAAGAGCAAGAATCTCCCCTGCGCAATGATTGACGTGCACTGAGAGACATGCAGAGGCGGAGCTACACGGTCGCGGCGTCCAATCAGGACGAGTGGGGCGGGGCCAAAGCATCGCAGCGTCTCTGAGCTTTGAGAGCGCTACAATGTAACAAAAGCAGCGGGATGAAACAGTGAAATAACCCGCGAGTGTATGAAGCGCTGCGTTCACGCGGGACCTGATTAATAACACACACCACACGCCACACACACACCCACCGGTGAGTTTAGTGGTTAAAGGGCTGATAGTGGCTCGAGCTGTGAGTGAGTGAGCTCAGGAGGACTGTGCTTACGGAGAGACTTGCCAGAGGAATCTCCGCCGACGCTGGACAGAGGACCGGAGGACCGGAGCGGGCCGACATGGACGAGCAGCCGCGCCTGATGCACGCTCATGCGGCCCTGGGGATGAGCGGACACCCGGGCCTGTCTCAGCACATACCGGACAACACCGGAGCCACCGACGGAGACGGAAGGAAGCAGGACATTGGAGACATTTTACAACAGATCATGACCATCACTGACCAGAGTCTGGACGAGGCGCAGGCCAGGTGAGCTGTCACTCATCACATCCGAAAATTTAAATTAATTCGTTTAAAATTAACTCGTCACTGAAAATATATAAAAATATAATAATACCGCATTTGCACATTTTATACCGTGCACTACATTTATATATTAAAATTATATTAATAGCTTAAATATAGAAATGTAAAATAATGTATAACAATGAAACGTTTGTACATTTAAATATACTAGTAAATAATACGTACTACATATTTTTAAAAATAATATATTTTTGTTTACTTGACCAATGCTATAATATATAAGCTAATTAAAGATAGACTTCCAAAAATATCCAGTTAACCTTGTTTAATTATCAGCAGCCCTTAAAATGTATAAATTGTGATAAATAACACACGCCACTACAGCTATTGTTAAAACTGTAAACTCTTAATAAATTAATATGAGATTCAGTTGGCATCTAATTCACTTTGCACTTATCAAGTGGCTTTTAAAAAAATAATTCTATTGTAGTAACAATAACTGCAGTAAGTAACTGAGGGATTTTAGCAGAAAAAAATATAGTTCATGCAATATAGTTTAGATGTTTGACATCTTTATAATAATTGGCAATTAGCAAATATTTACATGCATATCAGGAGTTATTGACTAAGTAGGCATCCAGACATGGACTGATAACACAATCGCTGTTGTCAGTGTGTCCAAACACATGTAGTGTGTAGTGACAGACATCAGTGTATTTTTCTGACATGCAGTGCTCATTTTTTGTCAATAGAAATGAACAGATGCCACGATAGAATTTGACAGACAGCACTGAGACTCGTATCACACGTCTGATCGTGTCCCTTTAGGATAAATATTGCTCAGAATTCAATGAGCTCAACTATATTTGATCATTTTATGTTGTTTTTCCCATGTATATTTTAGAACTATCTGCAGTGTACAGTGTTATGATTTTTTTTATAATGTAATTAATCACTCAGCCCACAACCATTACTATTGCTAAATGTTTGAATGCATTAATTAACCTTTTTTTTTTTTTGCATATGGATGTGTTCAATAAAAACATGCATTTAAAAAAAAAAAAGATTAATTTTAAACATGCAAAGATACAAAAATATGAATTGTTAATAGTGCTAATTATGGAATTTTGTTAATCTTATACAACCAGTATACATGCAAAATATGATAAACAGAGACTAGCATGAGTTTGCTCAGGTCAGTGTGTGCTTTCCATTTCACCACGATCAGTGTACGTTCAGGCAACAGAAGTCTTTGCTAGCCGAGTGAAATATTCGTCTGCTCCGACGCTCACCGCGGCCTTGTGTTGTGTTTCAGAAAACATGCTCTCAACTGCCACAGAATGAAGCCAGCGCTCTTCAACGTCCTGTGTGAAATCAAAGAAAAAACAGGCAAGTCAAGCTATGCTTTAAAAAATACACCATGTTCGAGTAGCACACGTGAGATAATATTTTTTTTAAAAACACTGGACATCAAGTGCATTTGTTTTTCAGTGTCTGGTCGAAGCTGTGAAAGCAAATTGTTGTCTTTTAATGATTTGCACACGTCGTCTCTCATAAAAAAATCTTGTAATTGGAAACACAGTGTTGTGCTGTAGTGGCATGCTGTTTTTCTGCATTGTGCATTGGATGCTTTGTGGATTTCAGTGGGTAAATGTGGGTTTGTGGCGATCGTAGCAAGGAAATGAAGAGAAACGTCTGTAGAAGTTCAGCTTCTTTGACCTCTTTGACTAGTAAATCATCTTTACTGCTCTTGCACTGTACCGGGCTTGTTTTTTGTGCAAAAGCGCAGCTACGTTCTGATTAGGAAAGAGCAGGATTGAATTACAAACTGCCCTAAGTTGCTAAGTTGAAATGTTTATTTAGTTGTGTTTGGCTAAAGCGATGAATGAAGATTGTGTTTGTGCATTTTTGGAGGGAAACCTCGTTTCATTATGTGGAGCCATTGCAATGATTAAAAACGTCGTACTAGATGCCGAGAAGAGGGTCGAATGTGACGTTTGTGGTCTGGTGTGTCGAGAGCAGAGCTGCTCAAAGCCACTCGTGGGTTTTTGTCTCGAGCCGAGAGAGGATGGATTTGTGCTGGTCGGTGAGATACTGAGATGCTCTGCTGTTTGATGTGGAAACGGTTCCAGCGTGTTTCACAGTCATTAGTGCATGAAATAAAAAGGACTAGATGAAGGATAAAGCCGATTTCTTTATCATTATCTCTCTGACTGCTCTGTTCCAGCTGTGAGGCCGTGGGTGGTTCTCATCTCTGTTTATTCTGTCTCTGTCTCCGCCGCCGTGATGGTTGGCGATGATGTTTTCATTGAGTTGGAGGCGCGAGCAGAGCGGGGGGTTTCTGCGGCCTGCTATGCGTCTGAGAGGGGAGTGAGTGACGCAGTTATGCGTGGAGTTTTACTCCCCGCCGTTTCTTTTTCTGGTTGTTTTTCTTTTGCGAGTTCACGCAGAGTTCGAGCGCGGAGCGACGTGGACGTATCCCAGACTGCCCCGCTTCTCTTTGGGACCGTGGGCTCTGAGAGACGGGTCAAAATGACACGGCATGAGGTTTAAGATTGTTGAGGTTTGTTTGCAAGAAAGTTTCCGCTCCACTTCTGCGGCCTTCAACGCATCCTTGGATGTTTGGCATATTCAGGAAACCTCTTTTTAGGAATTATAGATGGATTCAAACACTTCTGCGTTGGTTGTGTCTAAAAGTGTTCTGGATTTCGAATGTATGCTGTCATTTTATTGTGTTCCTCAGTCATTCGGTGTTTTAAGGGGCAATTCCGCAGACATTCTGAGTTGTACGGTTGTTAACTTTATTTGTTTTGAAATCATGCAGGAATCAAAATAGCTCATGAAAAGTGTTTATTCTGTTTGACATCCGTGGAGATGTTGGTTCTTTGGCAAAAGTGCACATGTTTGGATCAGTGTATGTTTAGCACAGTGGAGGACTGTAAAGCTAGTTTGCTGAGAGTTATTGCTGAAAAGAAATCTTTCTGCAAAACGTACAGATCAACTTTTACTAAAATTGTAATTGCCTGGCTTCAATTTTTACTTTTGTGTTCGTGTTTGCAAATGCTTTGTGAAATTAAAGCGTATAATTTTCTATATTAGTTGGTTTCTTTTAAAACTTTTTAGCAATTGCATACTCTTTATTCTATCGTAAATTCTATGATAGTAATTATAGTAAATGGAGCTGATATATTTATATAGTCAGCTCAGTTACTCTTAAGCATTATTTACTCAGTCACCAAATGAATCTCATTTCTTTTATTTAGCATTTTGTCATTATTTCTGTTAAAAACAAAAACTTTTCATTTCAAGGCACAGTGCGTCAGACAATTTTAAAATGCATGCTCAAATGAGATTTGCTGAATTAGGTGGTTATAATGTATAAATAGTTTGTTTTATCAAGCAAATGAAAACGTTTAAGATTATAAATATGTTGTCATGTGCTTAGTTTCTCCATGTCAAGCTTATGAACCTCAAAAGTATGAATATGTAACTTTTTAAACATAATAAATAAATAATTTATCTATTTGTTTGCATTTAAAAAATTCCGAAGTTTGTTTAACACTATTAACGCAACAATATAACATTGAAAGTGACAAGATCTGATTGGGTTTGGTAAAGTAGAAAGTATCTCATAGTTTCAAAGTTGAAAAAGCCATTTTCGTAAAGCTCAAGATCACATTCAGTCCTGTCAGTGAGTCTATAGTGTGTTTTTACAGTTCCTCCCAGTGTGCCAATTGACACCTGCAGGGGAGGACGCGGCCCTGGGTCACGACCCGACCTTTTGACCCTGCGGTGTTTTTACTGGGATATAAGGGAACGGCGGACGTAGAGGGAAATCTAAACAGCCGTGCAGAAGGAGGAAGGATCACTTTATTTTAGTCCAAACATCTGAGACACCGCCATGGCGCTCTTCTCTGCTTGCTTTCATTCCACTCATATTTTCTTTCTTGTCTGAGGAATGTGTGTGTGCGAAGACTCTGTGTGTGTGTGTGTTTGCTTATAAGTGGATTTTATAGTCTTTGTGCATGTTCACACTGTCATCTTTGTATGGTATGTATTGTAGTTCACAAACATTGTTCAGAATAACTGTTAAATTATGAACACAAACCACACGTTTTATATTAATGCAGAAGCAAATTTTCTATGAGGATTACTAATATTAAACATTGGTGTGTTTTATAATTCTTATAAAAGTAAGGTTACTCTACCATGGTAAAATCGCTGTAATGCATGGCCTCTTATGGCTGCGCTATTGTTGAAGCACATTTTTTTTTCCCATCAAACAGCAAAAATATAGTTGTGCCATTTTTGCTTTGTTTTTCCTTCTTACGTACAGATCTAATGGCTTTAGTTGCATTTTTAGCATTTAGTTTTTTTAGATGCACCACATGCATGCACTTTTAAAAATACATTTTTATATGTAATTAGTTATGAGTTTCAAATCATGTTCTAAACAGAAATAGAGCAATGCACTTGTTTACATGCTCCTGAAACAATGGCAGTGTCTTGTCTCAGCGTCTGTGATCTTTGAAGCGTGCAGCACAGAATCGTGTTGGAAAGGATCTGGCACCAAATGGCTTTCCAAAAATACACTCAAACAATTCCAGCCAGATCAGTTGGCTCACACGGACCCGATACCACGCAAACTCTCGTTTCATTATTCTTCACGGCGAAATAACCCAGCCAGCACTTGAAAGGAGCCGTGTAAATACGTCTCTTTTTTTTCCCCTCTTTGGTTTCGTCTCCGTGTTTCTGACACATGGAGACTCGTCTCTATGGAAGCGGAATTCTTGGATCTCTTGGAACTTCAGAACGATGTCAAGGCATCTAATTGCTGAATGTCAGAGTTTGTTCTGTGACACCACCTTGAACCTCCAGCGTTGACAAAGACACAGTAGCGGCGCTCTGCCGTTGAGGAGTACGAGGGTTTGAGCGCCTGTCAGAGATTTTACGTCGCATTCAAATAGTCGTTAACTTCAGAAAGCTCCAAATGAAACCCTAATGGAAGCAGTTTATGCACTCGGTGGCTTGTTTGTTGTTGTTGTTTTTTGTTTATTCCATTCTGAATTGATTTTTCTTTTCTTTGCAAACGCATTGTTTCAGCTTTGTTTTTATGAGTGCAATGCTTTTCACGTTTTCACGTTTGACAAGTCAAACCAAAAAAAAAAAAACTGAACTGGTAATTTAGATTTTGAGTGCTATTAAGTGTCTCAAACTGATATTTTATATTGCGTACAGTACAAATAGTCATTAACTTTAGACACCATGGTTAGGTACTTTTATTTTTTCTTTTATTTTAAAATATATTATATATATATATATATAT